AATACCGCCGATTACAATGACTGGGCCGTGTTCTCCGCAGACCCGACAACACATTTACCAGTATTGTCTGGGCACAATTGCCTTGTACTAGTTGGTGCCGTCGACAAGAAGGGGGAGAGGGCAGGTAAAAACATGGCTGGAGACATTGTATTCGAAGACGATCAACTTGACCTTCGGATGGTGTACGGCACTCGCCGATGGAAAACCAACTGGATCGACATTTGCAAGGACCTGGCATCCAACTGGCAAGCATGGACGACAGCGATCGGAGACATCCATGAAACCGGTTTATCCTTTCCAAGGAGCCTGCCATAGTGAAGCAAAGAAAGGAAGTTAGGGTTAAGGGTTTCGAAGTCCCGACTCGACTGATCGCGGTACGCACTGCTGACGAGTCCCAAATTGGACGAAACAGATGTCCAGTGCTCTTTATCTGTTATCACAAATATTTCGATCGCATTTAAAGGTACCTATTTATGTTTCATTTTGTTATCGGTGGTGTTTTTTTATTCGAGGCTTGTCGGGGTACAACATTTGACGAAGGCAGTGCTATCCCCATGGTCACTGATGCTGCAGGCGATGTTGTTGTCACAAAACTTCCAGTGGAAGCGGATATTCTGGTCGCTCATTCTACCGTCCCAGGTGAGTGTGGTCGATTTTCAGTAATTGGCGAATATTTTACTTACACAAAAATCACACTTTTCTCCGCATTTGTTCCTTTGTTTTTTTATCAATGGTAATGCTTCCGAATGTGTGACATGACTTTGTTATCTACAAACAACGGCAGTCCAGTCTGTCTGAGGGAGACGGAAGTAATTTAACTAGTTTCTTCGATTAAGTCTTAAATGATTTTGGTAATTTAGGTTCGCTTTCGCTCATCGGTAAAGTGTACTGAAAGTTACAATTTTGGTAAATGAAGTTTTGTGTGGCTACATCCATGCAGTGGTAACTTGACTGAATGTGCATGTACGATGTTCCCTGTGTGTATGTAAATGTAATGCGAAAAATCTAAACTGAGTCATAACCCCAATTGGAAGCGCGGAGATGCGCAAGGTGCAATGTCTGAATTAGGCTCGCAAAGATGGGTTGTGCTATATCGTGTATATTCAGACTGAAAAATGGTCTGATTACCTGTCCGACGGTTGAGTGGACAGTATGCTTGTGTTCAAACCGTGATTTTCCGGGTTCGATCCCCAGTTGTTTCGATGGATTCGCACTGCTGATGAGACCCAACCAAATCGAAGCATCCTTTCAGTGCTTCCTAGCTTTTCAGCTCACACCTCATTTACACAATGATTTCATCTTATAAACAGTTCAACTCCTCCATTGCTCTCACAACAAATAGGCAGAATGTGAAAGTTTCCATCCCAGTCATTTCTAGACAGCATTCACGTATTCAGTTTAGCATTACTTCGGTGTAGTGTCTATTTGAAAAGAATACAAATTTCCCCAAGTTCTTTTTGGTTAATCTGCCTTCGACTAGCAATGATATTCAAATGTATCAACTACGAATCTCAGCTGGGAATTTTAAAATTTAAATCCCTCAACACATGTTCTGTCCCTTGTTTGCATATTTTTGATACATTTTTAGCGCGACGAATCAATCGCTAGTTATTAGAAAGAAAAAACTCAGATTGCATCCAACCTGCTCAAGTGCTGGTTGACATTTAATGTTAATGTTGCGTCCCCCATGCTGTGACTATCTGTTAAAATCCGGTGTACCCAAAAACGAACTGATAGTCTTATCAATTACTTAGTAACACACAATGTCTACCCGGATAACGCAAGCGGATAACCACAGTAAAATCGCTACTCTCAATCAGTGTTTGTAGATTCATATCCCCAATGATTCCTATCCTAGTCTTCATCTGTTCTATTGTTCTCAGAGGATAATGTTTAATGAAAATAATTACTGTAATTGCATGAATGAAGTTATTTAAATGAGAAAATGAATTTTGCTGCGGCATACTTTCTAATTCGCATCAATCTCTGTTTAGTCCCATCATTGTCTTTCAGTCTGCCTATTTATCTGTTAAGACGGTCTCTATATTTCTGGTTTGTCTTGACTACCGGGTTAGCGCTTCTCGCCCACCGTACATCTTTCACCAGGCACTTTTTGCAACAAGTGTTTTTCATCCTTCTGCACAACTCATTCTTTTTTCCCTATCCTCAACCAACTTACAGTTCCCTATCATTGTTGGTAAGTACTGTCAAAATAAATCGATGATGGTCAATGCTCGACTCTTCAGATAGATTCGTTT